ATAACTTACCTCACAGTTCTTTGCTGTTTGTTCTTAGAATCAGGATGAGAAAACAGTGTTCTAGGTGAGGATGTTTAAGAAAGCTACTCTGGTACTTCCAGAACCTTAGATAGACTTCCATGGCAACTCACTCACATAGAGGGGACTTGCTGTAAATTTTTTTAACCATTCCCCCAGTATTGAACTCCCAGATTGCTGCTGCTGCTGCTTCTTTTTAAAAATTGTCATTTTAGTCAGATGTTGGTACTCACGTCTGTAATCCTAGCTTCTCAGGAGGCAGCGATCAGGAGGGTCGAGGTTCAAAGTCAGCCCAGGCAAATAGTTTGAAAGGCCCTATCTCGAAAAAACCCATCACAAAAAAGGGCTGGTGGAGTGGCTCAAGTGGTAGAGCACCTGTCTAGCCAGGATGAGGCTCTGAGTTCAAACCGCAGTACTGCCAAAAATAAATAAATAACCAATGTAAAAAGTGGTGGGGGCATGGCTCAAGTGTAGATTGCCTGCTTTGCAAATGTAAAACCTTGTGTTCCAATACCAGTCACCCTCCCAAAAAAACCGTGTCATTCTGAAGAAGTAAATCTACTTCTTAAACACTGAGGGGTGTAGTTCGGTAGTAGAGTGTTTGGTATTTGCAAGACCTGGGTTAAATCCCCAGCAATGAAAAACAACAAAAAAACAAATGAGGATGTGGAAATATTTAAACTTTTGGCAAAGACAGGATAACATTTGTAGGTGCCAGTGACTTAAAGTTAAGCAAGTTCCATGCCAGGAAAGGTTGGCAAATCTTCTAATCAGAAAATGTCTGTAAGAAAGTAGTTCACAGTAACTGAATACCACAGATTTCACCAGTGACAGCACTTTCTGACACGCAGTATAAAATTACCAAGCAATTCTTTCACCAGCAACAACTCACTTCTGATGTCACCAGTGGCTTGAATGAGGCTTGGAACAGTGTAACAAAGCATAAGGCAGACTTTACCCGTGGCTGCCTGCTGTCCCTTGTGCAGGTGGCCATCTCTGGGATGTGATTAAACCTTTCATTTATGCTGTGGGCCCAGCACCCAAAAGGTCACGGGGCCTCAAAGAACTTACAAAGCACGTTATTGGAGCTGCCCTGTGCCTGTCTGCTAATAAATAGTTATTAAGTGTGTATGTGGCAGATTTTGGTCTAGATCTTGTTTCCTTTGTATCCTGGGTGTGAGGTTGCTGGGGACGCAAATCCTCACCAGGTCATGCTTCTCTGCCTAACTTCATATCAGGCAGGTAGAGCTAAGAGCTGGACGTGTTCAGTTCAGGTCACATGGTGACACCTTGCTGCATCTGCAGAACTCTTCCAGGGTGCAGAGCAAGGGCCCTGTCTACCTCAGGAATCAACCTCCTTGTTCTCTTCTTGGCCTCCTAATTCCCACCTCCCCACCAAGTCAAGGCCTGTATTCTTTCATCTCTTCCTAGTCCCCCAGCCCTTCATCCAAGCTCAATTTCCTTATGAAGCTTAAGCTTTTGTACAATGAAGACAGGAAGGGGCTTTTTTCCAAGTAGCTTGTGTTCCCAATTCCCTCCAGGGATCAGAGGTGCAAGAGGTGAACTTACCTGCTTGTAAAGTGCTCACTGCTTTGGGTGTACCCACTGCCCAGACAGGCTGTGCTGGATAGGCTCTGTTGGGCTGTCCAGATCCATTCGCCACCCTCCTCTGCCCTGCTGTGGCCTGGGAGGCTAGCTCGTAGGACTGTACAACCCAGGATCCCTTGCTTTCCACTTCCAGTGGGGTTTGCTAGTGGGAACCAGTAGCCTGAGAGGAGGGAAGGACAAAGAAGTTGAGTGTTTATTTCCCTGCTCTTTCCCTGCCAGGCTTATCAAAGGACACAGCTGCTGCTAGGCAGCCCTTTCTTATGGTCACAGCTTTGTTATGGGTTGAATTGTGTCCCCTCCAGATAAGATATGTTCGAGTCCTAACCCCAGGACCTCAGAATATGTCCTTACATGGAGACAGGTCATTTACAGAGGTAATAATGTTAAAAATGAGGTTGTTAGTATGAGCCCCAAGCCCTAAGGCAGTATAACCAGTGTCCTTATAAGAAGAAGCATAGATAAAGCAAGAGACACAGGTAAAGGATGGCCATCCACAGGCAAGGAAAGAGACTGAAACAGATCCATCCTCACATTCCTCAGAGGAGCCAGCCCTGTCAACACCTTCATCTCAGAATTATGGTTTTGAGAACATGAGACAAAACATTTCTGTAGTTTAAGCTACCTAGTCTGTGGCACTTTGTTTTAGCAGCCTGAGCCAACTCATACAAATTCTTACTGGGTTCTGGTGCTGTCTCTGCCCCCTTGCTCAGTCATGTCTAGAGCTTATAAAAATCCTCACTGTTGCCAATCCTGGATGTGCCAACATCCCTTGTTGGTTTTCCTCAACTGCCTCCATCCCTTCATTAAATTATCCTTATCAATTATTCCATGCCATGTGTTTCCTGATACTCAGGCTAGAATATAATGAAAAACAGAATTATATTTTCCTGATATACTTCATAAAACTATCACAAAGACAAGAAAAAGTTCTGTTGGGGTTCTCTATTTATGCAGATAGCTAGTAGGAATCTTGCATTATTTAAAATAAAGCACCTGATAAAGTTTCACTTTCTCCTGCAGCTCACTTCGTGTGTGTGTGTGTGTGTGTGTGTGTGTATGTTGATACTGGGGTTTGAACTCCAGGCCTCATGCTTGCAGGTAGGCAGGCACTCTACCACTTGGGCAACTCCACCAGTTTTCTTTTGTGTTGTGTATTTTTGAGATAGGGTCTCAGGAACTGTTTGCCCAGGCTGGCTTCAAACTATGATCCTCCTGATCTATGCCTCCCAAGTAGCTAGGATTACAGGTATGAGCCACCAGTGCCCAGCTGTTCATTTCCTCTTGCAGAATGTAGGGAAAGCCACAAGGGGACGTGCTCCTTTGGACTTAACTGAGATCAAAACTAGCAACCCCATAGAAAAATGGGTCCCTCATAGGAAAATACAACTGACAGAAAGGGAATATATATGTATATATAATTTTTGACAGTACTGGGGTTTGAACTCAGGGCCTCATCCCTGCTAGGCAGGCGCTCTACCACTTGGAGCCACTTCACCATTTTTGTATTGGCTATTTCAAGATAAGGTCTCAAGAAGTATTTGCCCCAGGGGTGTCTCCGAACTTCAATCCTTCTGATCTCTGCCTCCTGAGTAGCTAGGATTACAGGTGTGTGCCATCAGCACCTGGCTGGTTCTCAATTTAAAGTAAAGCAGACACTGAGCTACAGTTGTCCTTGGCCAAGAGGTGCTGTCCTCTTTCACAATGTGCCCTGAAATGTTACCATTCCAGTTGTATGCAACAGATACTAATTATCTAAATTTCAAATTTGCCAAACCCATCTTTCCAGTCTCACCTATCCTATTCCTTCAGTCCTTATTAGACTCAGCCCCCACCCACAAGTTTGCGTTCCCTAACTTCTTGTTGAATTGATTTTCTCATTCAGGAATGCCTGACAGCTCCTTCCCCACCTATGGAAATTCCATCTGTTTCCCAACACTCAGCTCAAAAGCCACCTCCTCCCTGGGTGGACTTACTACTTACTCAGTAAGTCCTGCCTGGGCCTCCATGCTCAATTTGTGCTGTATTATTACCTTCTCATCTTCCTTTCCTGATTACTTGTCTGTCTTTCCCACTGGCGTCTCACCTCTTTTAGAACAAGGGTCTTCAGAGCTTCCACCCTGTCCTGCTGTAGTACCGTCATGAGCCAAGGTTTCAATCAACAACAGACTTCATATACCACAATAGCCCTATAGACTAGCAGATAGCCTAGTGACTTTGCAGGCATCTTTTGTGCAGTACACTCTCTGATGTTCATACGACAAAATCACCTATTTCTCAGAATACACCCCTGTATTTAAACAGTGCATGACTGTTCTTTACAACAGGGCTTGGCAAAGTAAGGCCTGAGCTAAGAATGGTTGAAAAAAGATGTAAAGGAAAAGAATATTTCATAATATGTGAGAAGTATATAAAATTCAAATTTCAGTGCCTATAAATACAGACTGTGTTTTCTGACTGCTTTTGAGTTCCAATGGCAGAATGAGTGGTTGAGAAAGAGATCTTGGGGTTCAGAAAGCGTAAATATTGAGTATATGGCCTATTTCAGAAGCACTTTGCTGATCCTGCTTTACGATTAAAGGTTTAATGATTGAATCATTGGGTTGGGACAGCAGATTCCGAATATTAATTTCATTGTGTAATGGACATAATAACTATCTTGCATTTAAGTGGTCATAAACATCATATGAAAGAATGCACTTAGAAAAGTATAAAAACATCCTACCCTTATCATGTGCGAAAAGATAATGTGGCAAGATGAGAAAACATTAAACGTTTTTAATTTGCCCTTGCCTTTTCTTCCTTCACAGCTTTCATTTAAACTTGAAATTTTAAAAGAAGATTCACTTTGGAAGTTTTTACTTTAGGAAGATAGGGTCACAGTCTTTGGTGTCGCTCCCACTTTCTTTTTTTCTCTGACACGTAATTTTTTTCTTTTTTTCTATTTTCTTTAGTGTTTTCATTGGCCCTCACGATAGCTCAGGAGAAACTAGGACATGTCTGATTATTCCATTTTCCAGGCCAGGAAACGGAGGCAAATCCCAGCTGACCCCAAACCTCGAATTTAGCGCTAGGGCCACCCTCAATGCCACGTTCTTTCTGCGACTTCTCTACCCGGCTACCGTCTGGCAAATAGAACGAAAAGTAACCAAGCCAGGCTTCCAATTCCTTGGCTCCTCCCCCAGCCCCGCCCCTCCCGCCCCCCGACCCCCGCCCCCTAGGAGCAGGTGGTAGACTCCGCGCCCAATGCGCAGGCGCGCGGGGCCGTGGGGGCGGGGCCTGGGGCGGGGTGGGCGCGGGCTCGGCTTTGGGCCGCGGCGGGAGCCTGGGTCGCCGCCACTCGAGTGCGCAGGCGCTTGGCGGTTACCGGTGTCGCCATGGAGCGGAAAGGTGAGCGGTGGAGCGGCCTCCGCCACGAGGGGCAACTGCCGCCGGGGCGAGGCCCGAGTCAAGAGTCGGGAGCCTCGCCTAACCGCCGCCGTCCGGTCCCCGGGCGTGCGGCGCCCTTCCTTTGAGGTGGCGCCGCCCCTCACCCCCCGCCTCTGGGCTGCGGGTCCGCGCCCCTCAGCCCGGGCGTCCTCCGGCGCTGGCCGTCACCGCCCCTTGTTCCCCGCCGGGCCGGCTCGCGCTTTGGGGCCGCTCCAGGGCCCGGCCCACGGCGGGCGAGGCAGACCCCCGGCCGGGCCCGAGCCCCCCGGGCGCACCCCGCCTGGGCGCTGCTCTGCGCCCCGTGGGCCGCCAGCCCCCCGGCCGGCCTCCTGGCCTCAGCCGCGGCGCTCGAGCCGCCGCCGTCCTCTGGGCAGGCCCCGCAGCCCAGCCTGGCGCCCTTCCTGGGTCTCCACCCCCACCTTGGTCACCTCCTTTCCTCCACATTTGCCCTTCATCCATCCCTCTCTCCTGCAGTGCTTGCGCTCCAGGCCCGAAAGAAAAGGACCAAGGCCAAGAAGGACAAAGCCCAAAGGAAGTGAGTCTTGCACCCCATCATCCCGTTCCTTGGATTTCCTCGGGCGCCTCCTCTGCTCTAGTTTCGTGCCTTGAGCGTGCACGGGTCTTGGGCGCCCTGTGGGCCCTGCCACATGGCCTCGGGGCTGCTTTGGCGGTCGCCCTCCGGGAGCCATGTGCAAGGGAGCTTCTGCAGCCGAACGCCAGGCCCTGCTTGGAACGGCTTGCCCCGCACCTCTGCTCCCCAAGCTTGCGCCCCCCCACACCCTCATTCTCGCCCCGGCCGGAGAGGGTAGATCGTTAGCAGTCGTGAACTCTGGTCTCTCTTCTTGATTTTCCAGCGTCTTAACTTGCCTCCTACGCGTGCACGGCGGGCCATCAGGAAATTCTTGAGTGAATTTTCCGTGTTTGCTCTTGGTTCTGCCAAGCCCACGCTCGCTTTCATAGAGGAGGACAGGAGTTTGCCTCTGCTAGTCCACTTCCTGAACCTGGCAGTGAGCGGGTAGCCCGAGGCGTGCATAGTCGGTGTGGGGTTCCTCTAGCTTCCTACCCCTGCGCTCCGTGCACATCACGGTCTAGGGTATCACAGCAGTGCAGGGAGAGTTCCTCACCCAACGCTTTGGTTGTTCTGCTTTGGTCTTTTTAAGTGTCACATGTCCAGTTTCAGCAGCAGGATGCTTGCAGAACAGTGGTTGAGCGCTTGTGGGAAGCACACAAGTAAGCCACAGCCTGGTTGGAAACTCCCCTGGTGGGAGTTACCTTTCACCTTTAGCTTAAGTGCAAAGGCTCCTGGAAGTCATCTTAGACCACTTACATTCCCAAAAAACTTCGTCTAACTTAATCTGACATGCATTATTTCTGGGCAGTTTTCCATCTATTTGATGTTTTGTGGTCTGATGCCGTCCAGTTCCCCTCTGGGCTGATGCAACACATTTTAGAGATCTTCCTAGGGTACTCTATTGAATGACAATACCAGATGGGGTGGATAGGTGGGTGATTTGCTGGCTACCTAATGTTTGGGGAGTGGGGGTAATGACTTCTCTCTTTAAATAGAACCAAAGTGGCAGATGATCTCACCTCTCGCACTATTTTCCATGATCTGTCTTAAAGATGTTTTTATTTTGTTAAGTTCTTGATGACCAAGGCATGTGTGAGTTGTGTTTACCTCCATTATCCGTATGTGGATTAGTCAAAACTAATTTCTAATCCTAGATGGCTGGGTTTAATGGAAACAGCAAGGAGCTGACCTAGTTCTAGTATGCAGTAGGAATTTAAATGTTACTTTTTCTGTGCCTTAGTTTTGTTGTTCCAAGTAGAACTGATATGGATGTGTTATTTTTTCTACTGATCAAAGAGGTGGTGATTTTATTAATCACTATATATTTTACAAGACCTGGTCAGTCGTATCACTTGGAATTTAATCTTAATATTAGTCTGAATCAAACTATAATTTGGTAGATAAACTATATAGATGGTCATATGGTGGTTTTTTTTTTTTAACAGCAGATATTCATTACTTTGGATTATCTATGTAGACGGTGTGCTTTATTTCTAAAGCCTGACATACCTGCTTTGTATTATGTTACTCTTCTAGTCATTACTGCAGGTAATCTGGAGTTATCTGTATTCTTAATTATTCTCATACTTGCCTTTTGTGCAGGTATGGATTACATATAACCTAGCAGTTATTTTACTGAGTAATTGAACTGCTCTATTTCTCGTTTCAAAGGTTCTTTATTTTTCATTTTGTATTCAATTAAGCTTTTTTCCTTATAATTTTGCCTCCCTCTCTCCTTTTGTTTCTCCAGCCTCCTTTTAAGTAGCTGAAATGTCTAATTAATTAAGTTGGTTAGAGTATCATGTCAGAAGTTCAAGCCCCACCTGACTCAGGTAACTTGACTCTGTTCCTGGACTGCTGACAAATTTGTTATTTTGCAAAGGCAAGCTACTCCTTACCATGAGACTAGTTCAGGAAGAATGGCTGAGAGAAGCATGCCATAGAGTTTGGTCTTTGTAGAGAGACAGACATTGGGTTTGAATTCTGATTTTGCTACTGATTTTTAGTATCTGACCTTGCACAATTTAGGTTAAGGAAACCATCTTATATACTGTTGTGACCAGTAGCTGCACAGTCACAATAAAACTGGTCAAAACCCAACAGTACAAAAATGGAACATTCAGATGAAAAGTTTAGAAAGGTTTGCAAGTAGATAACAGTAAGTAGCATCCCTAGTGATTTAGTCTTGGTGTGGTACAGTAGAGTGGATTTTCAGTCCCTGGTTTTGTAGATTTGGTGTAAAACTAGAACCCACATGCTTGAAATACTGTGGCTGAGGTCATGGAATGGGCTGACTTAGAGTCTGATGATCCTGTCTTCCAGCACAGTGTTGTTTAGGGTGTTTCCTTTGGATTTTAAGGACTGTCCTGAAAGATCTAACTTGGGGAATTTTAGTAGTTTTATTTAAGTAATTCCTTTTCCATTTCACTTTTTTAGACATTAACTAGTTGCTGATAATCTCCATTTTACTTTACAGATAAGGAAATTGAAGTTTGTTAGATTACTCTTCTAGAAAATTATAAAGCTAGAATTTGAACCCAGATCTGATATGCTCTATATCCCTGATAACCACTATATAGTGTTCTTGCATTTCTAGCATGGAGATCAGTAGCAATCAGAACTCAGTAGTAGTAGTTGAAAAAAATTAAGGTACTGCTTTCATTTTAATTTCTTCCCTCTCTCCCTGTGCTGGAGATTGAACCCAGGGCCTTGTGCATACCAGGCAAGTGCTCTACCACTGAGCTAGACTCCAGCTCTTGCCCATTTTTTTTTTATATCAAATTGTTGAGCTCTTTATTAGCAATATGTGCTTTATCATGTGGCATAGTTCTCATCTTGTTTGTTACTGGCTGTTCAGATTTCATATGTTTTTGAAATAACATGATTTTTTTTAAATGTGGCTAATCTTTTCCCTTTTGAAATTTCCAATGTCGTCTTTTTTTTAATCGCATTTAAATTGTGTGTGAGAGTTCATTAAATTTAAGTAAATAGTTGTAAAATTAAATCTCAAAGATTCTTCTTGTCAGAAATATTTTCTTTTCTTCCTCAACAAATTTATATTTTAGCATATTTTGATTACATTAGTGTTTGTACTACAGCGAGGCCCAGGCTTGCCAAATTATTCAAAACCAGCAACTTGTTGAAGTACTAAAGTAAATAAGGCTGTGGGTGCTTAAGAATTCCCTTGTTAAAAGTGAAAAAAAGACAGAAAATCATCTAGAATCAATTCAGGCTTTATGGAATAACTGGCAGGTCCTCCCTACCCCCTTCAGTAGTCATTTGCTTGTGCTCACCAAGTCCTCTCTACCAGAGATGCTAGTTTGGGACTAAAATCAGTTTTATGCTGGCTAAAGTATTGTTTTGGGTGTTTCTTTCAACTGTGATCAAATTAATTCCAAGCACATAAGAAAATTCAGGTAACTGACAGTTTTTTAGATTTCTTCCCTTCTAACTATTATGCAAATAATGGTTTGAAAGAGAAGTATACATTTAGATACTTGTAGTCTTACAGTTTTTCATTGAATTTAAGATGCTATCAGGGTTTTTTGTTTGTTTGTTTTTGCGATACTGGGGATTTGCTCTACCACTTGATCATGCCCCCTGTTCTTTTTGCTTTAAAATACAGCATTTTATATACTACTGAGAAAAAAATACTGTTAATTAAATTAGCACATCATTAACTATAAGATATGTCTTAATATCAGAGGTGTGAAATACTGGGAAACAAATGAAGTGATACCAGCCAACATGTAGAATTGGCAGCATTACTGCGTCTTTAAAAGCTTTATTGTGGAAAGCCTCAAATATGTAGAAGAGAAAATGGCAAAATCTCTCAACGTCAGTTATGACCCGGGTTCTTTCACCTACATCTTCTCCCATTTTCCTCTATCTTATTTGCAAATCCCCTAAGATGTGGACATTTCAGTTTTAAAACCATAGTTATAATACTATAATCACAACTTAGAATTTTTATTAGTATTTATTATACAAAATAAGTTTTATTATATCATTTTCGTACATGTATATAGTGTACTTTGATCATATCACATCCCCCTCCCCCTTGCCCTCCTGCTGGTTCCCTCCCTCTTCCTAAATAGTCCCCTTTCTCTTTCATCTCTCTCTCTTTTTTTTTTTTTAAAGCTGATTCCACGTATGCGAGAAAACATTCAATATTTGTCTTTCTAAATCTGGCTTATTTTGTTTAACATGATGGTCTCTAGTTCTATCCATTTTCCTACAAATGACATAATTTTGTACTTTATTGCCAAGTAAACAGTTAATATTATGAATAATTTTCATATCATTAAATGTTCCACTATGGGCTGTATATATACCACATTTTCTTTTTGCATTCATCTGTTGATGGGTACTTAAGCTGATGGCATTACTTGGCTCTTGTGAATAGCGCCCCAGTAAACATGCACCTTAGCATCTTTAAAAACAAGTCCTTCATCCACATATCAGTGGTCTTTTTATCTACAGGTTCTCTGTGTTTTCCTTGCAAATTTGTTTTTTCTAGACTACTTCATAGGTGATACTGAATTCTCCTTTCAGGAAGCATCTACTGTCTGGTTTTCATCTTTTCGTGTGATGTTTGTGACCATTGATTATTGCTTAAATTCATTAATTTGTTTAGGGTTTCAAAATGATAATATCCTATTCCTTAATTTGTCAATTGTAATACTTTTATAAAAACAAATTTTATTTCATCTCTTGTTACCCAGAAGGACAATTCATACTTGGATGTCTGTCATCCTCAGAATGGCCAACAAAGATTTATTTGATTTTAAGCCAAAGATTTAAACATATCTGTCGTTTAATCCATGAAATTGTTTTGTTTTTCTTACAGTTTATGGAGGTACAATTTACATAAAACTCACCCATTTAAAATGTGCAGTTTGGGAGTGTAGATCAGTGGTAGAGCACTTGCTTAGCATGCATGAGACCCTGGGTTTGACCCCCAG